GTCCCAATGACTGGAGTGTGGGAACATTCCATCCTGTAGCATCCCATCACAGCCTGAGTCAGCAGGGCATGAAACTTTCCCCACCCTACATGGGGACCTTTCTGCATGGCCTCCACTTTGGTGCCTCCAAGCCTCGAGGTCTGTTGAAATTATTATAAGAGCCCTGGAGGCAATGTGGTGATAAAAAGCTCTTTCCAGTCAGAGGGTGCTGGATTTCAAAAGCGGTCATTCATCTTTGTGTGGATGATCTCAGGGTTCTCTCTGGAGTCTTAGCTTTGTCATTTCAATTACAAGCAGGAGAACTCCCTTTGGGTGACACAGGAAAGTGCTGGCACCCTGCTTGGCACGTGGCAAGCTTTCCATATAGGTTGACTGTACTTACCAAGGAAGGTCATGATGCATGCAATCTCTGGCTAGTTGAAGCGGAATAAGGAGTAGAGAGAGCTTAGGTCTTTGCTTATACTACCAAACCTCCTAACTCACATGCCTGGCCATTTATTCTGCTTATTCCATGGTATCATGGTGGAAAATGATCTGTGCTCCTCTCCAAAGCCATCCCTACTTGGATGCCTCCACGTTTGCCCTGAATCCCATCCTCTGCCAACCTATCAATGTTTCCCTCTACACTTGGATTATTTCTATCAGCATTCAAACAAGCTCTGATGTCTCCTATCTTAAGAGAGCCTGAGTGGCTCCTACTTCTCTCTCAAGCTGCCCTGCTACTCTGCTTCTTTTACATCAAAATGCCCCTAAAGAGTTGTCTACACTCTCAGTATCTTTGCTTCCTCTTCTCCATTCTAACTCAAATCTACTGTAATCAAGATCTCATTCTTACTCTCCACTAAAACAGCTCTTATCAGAATCACCAGGGACCTTGTTGCTGCTGTAGTTGGAAAAGGGGACACATACTAAACCTGGCAAGCTCAGGGGAGGCCTGAATGGTGACCTTACAAACCTAGGGATAGAAAATAACCACATAGTATAGTGTGAACATAAAAATCTCTAACTAAAATGGGTCATGGTGAGTAGTCACTTCCTAGGCCTGTAGCTTCCTTGACAAAGGTCAGTCTTTACTTTTGAAATTGTCTGTTGTTTTTGAGCATGTAAGATAACATGCCTTTTAAAATATCAGAGTAATTTTCTTTTCCAGACCCCTGGAAGGCACAGTACCAGAGTATGAGACCACATTGTTACCTTGTTGCTCACATACCATATCTCTGTTACTGTAAATGTTAACCGTCCTATACCCGCCAGTGTAAAAGAAGCATGTGTCTCCCTATATTGCTTTTTATCCAATCTCAGAGATATCCCTGCTTTGCTTTCTCCTGCCTCCTTAATCTACCACCAGGCATTTCAGGTAATCCTTCCTAGGTTTCCTCTTTTGATTCTAATGTATAAAATAAGTTGCTAAACTGCCAATCTCTAGAGCATTTTCTCAACTAATTGAGATTTTGTTTCCTGTAATTGCCATAAAATAAACTCTCATAAGACTTTTTCTTAGGCTGGACGTTCTTTTGTAGACACTGCCAAGTTCAATGGTCGATTGTCAGTCCTCATCTTATTCGACATGTGGGTAGCACTTAGTATAGCTGGTAAGGCTCTGTTCCCAGGTGTCTGGCTTGGCCCCAGGACACCATTCTCTTTTGGGCCTCCTCCTACTTCACTGGCCACTCCTCTCTGTCCCCTTTGGTCTCCCTAACCTGTAAGTAACAAAGTGCCCAGGATTAGTTCTTGGACAATTTTTCTAGCTCTACCCACTCTCGAGCTGATCTCATTGCACCCCATTGTTTTAAATTTCATCCACATCCTGATGACTCCTGAAGTTGCAGTTCCAATCCTCTACCTCTCCCCTAAACCTCACATGCCTACTCTTAGATGTGTATAATGTACATATTGAACTTCAATCCTAAATCAACTAAACACATCCAAAACTCTTTATTCTCCATCTCTACTCAGCCCTTAGTCTTCCCTGCTCAGTAAATGGCAACTTCTTTCAGTGGCTCAGATTTCAAAACTTAGAATCATCTTTGAGTCTTTTATATACCCCCCATCCATAGATTCTGTCAGCATTTCCTTCAAATTATATCTACAGTATGGCCCTTCTTACCACCACCACCCTCGTCTAAGCCACTACCATATCTTGCCTATCAGCCTTCTGATTGGTCTCACTGCTTCTATCCTTGCCTTCTCCAACCCTAGCATCCAGAGTAATCTTCAAAAAAAAAAAAAAAAAAAAAAAGCAATTAGATAATGCCATGCTTTAAATCTTTTAAGGTTTGCCATCTCCTTTGCTGAATAAAATCCTAAATCCTTATCAGGGCTGAGAAGCCTTTTGAGACCTGGCTTCTGCTACCTCTGTGATCTCAGCTCCCATCTGCTCACACTAGTCCAGCTACTGCTTTCCTTGCTGTCCTTTGAAGATGCTAAACCCACTCCTGCAGGGCCCTTGTACTCTGTCCTCTAATCCTTATCACTTTTTCCTCCGGTATCTGCAAGTAAAGTTCTCTCACTTCCTTCAGGTTTCTGTCTAAATTTCATCTTATCAAAAGAGATTTGGCTATTCTTTCTAAAGTAACCCCTCTCCTGTCACACATGCACACTCTCTCATTTCTATGTTTTACTTTTCTTCCTAGCAATGGTCATACCTGGCTATACTTTATACAATTTGTTAATCTGTAATAGTTAACCCAATTAATAAGTAAGTTCAATAACAATAGAGTCTTTTCGCATTTAGTCATTGCTGTCTTCCAAGCTCCTAGAAGACTGCCTGAGACAAAGTAAGAATCCGACAAATACGTGCTGAGTGAATGGATTTGTTGAATAAACTCATCCAGGTCTCTCGTCATCAGGTGAAGAGAGTGGTCTCCAGATAGTTGTTTAATAAATAGGATCAAAATGCAGTGTAAGGAACTGACAAAGTTATACATAGGGATGATCTGATTATGCAAGTATTTATTATCAGTGACCATCATAAAATTCACACTTATTTTCAGGTTGCTCCCTGATGCCAAATAGTTTGTCAAACTCGAAGGTGGAACAGAACATCTGCCTTTAACTACTTTGGCCTCTCACTTATCCTTGGGGACTCAGTGTGTTCATCTGTGAAACAGGCAGTTGGAGATGTGGTTCCTGCTCTGCTAGTTTATGGTCTACAAGATGAAAGAGGGAGGCAGTGCAGGTGGGACGATCAGCCACCACACGGGCCCTGGAGCTCGGCTGCCTGTGTGCGAATCTTGCCTCTGTTCCTCACAAGCCACATGACTGTGGGCAACTTACTCAGTTTTCTCTTTGTAAAGTGGGAATAACCAAAGAATAATAATTCATTTTATCATTTGTTATTAAATAATAATTTACTTATTTATTATTAAATGACTCATAATTCAACAATTTGTTTAATTCGAAGAAGAACTGTGAGGCTTACATACGGTAATGCATGTAAAGCACAGAGTCTATGGTCTGGAGTTTAGTTAAGTGCTCAATACATGTTAACTATTAAACATGAAAAGTTCTAGGGGAAGTTTTGAGGGGAGGGTCATTGCTATTAATGTGTCTTAGGGACAATAATCTATCTCAGACAATTAGATGACATGAAATCTTTAAAGGTGTGGCAATGACACTGTGACTAGGTAGGAGAGTGCCTTTATTAGGAGATGGCTGGTGAAGTTTTTAAGAATAAAGCCTCCCAATGTCTGTCACTGTCTAGTGATCTAGTCCAATATCCTCTGTTTCTCTCTATCAAGCAGTCGTGGTGAAACGTTAACTGTTGAAGCTAGGTGGACCCTGTAGTTTATCCTTTCAACTTTTCCGTATGTTTGAAAATTTCAAAATACAAGGGAAAAAAATGAACCCTAGAAATAGTCTAGTTTCGTCCAGCACGTTCTACAGAAAACGGCTCAGATGTAAATGCTTTACAGAAAAAAGCATCTGCCCCAGGCAGGCCACACGGCGGGCGAGGCGTGGGTCAGAAGCCAGTGGTCCTGGCGCCCGTCCCTCCCGCGTTCAGGCTGCGGCTGCCGACGCCGGGCCGCAGGGAGCGGCCGGGGGACACGCCCAGCTTCCCCTCAAAGACACAGGGGTATTACAGGTGAGGAAAACGGCACCTGTGTTGGTGTTTCCTTTTTGTTTACGAAGCAAAGAGGTCGTCCGGATGGAAGGTGCGATGCCGAAAATGAGAAGGCAACAGCAGCGCAGACCTGTCGTCCTTGGAGAGTGGGCGGACCGGTCTGGCGCCCCACGTGCGGTTTCCTAGCGGCGGTGCGGCCTGTGTCAACTCCGGGGGGAGCGCCGCGCCGAGAGCCGGAGGGGCGGGGCCCGGGCGGCGGGGAGACTCGGCTCCGATTCCGGGGCTCCCTGAAGGAAGGGACCCCAGGGTATCAAGGGAGGAACCGCGGGGTCGTTTTAGAGAAAAGAAATGATTTTCTGCGGTCTGCAGCATCCTCCCCTAGCTAACAGGGTTCGAGACAGTGAAGAGGAGAGAACGGGAGAAGAGGGTTCGTCCGTGCGCGCCCGGGGAGCGGGGAACAGCTGGGGAGAAAACAATCCGGAAGAGGCAGCGGTGGGGGAGGGGCCGGAGGGGAAAGGTGTGGGAAAGGTAAAGAGTCGAGAACGAACGGGCGGAGGATCCCGGCCCCCCGCCCTCGCTGGGCGTCTGGACTCAGCCCTGTCCTCTGCCCCCCTCTTCTGGGGTCAGTCAGCCCCTGAGGCCGCCGGCGCACAGCTCCGGGCGCTCTCACGGGGGGCGGGGCCGGCAGAAGAGGCGGGGCCTCCGGGCGCTCTCACAGGGGGCGGGGCCAGCATGAGAGGCGGAGCCTCCGGGCGGCGCGAGCGGAGCCTCCGGCCGCGGGCGGGGCTCCTCTCGGGCGGGCGGCTGCGGGAGTCTGGGGGCCGCAGCTTCCCCTCTTGGTCTGTGGAGGCGCCTGGCCCCGCCTCCCCCATTGCCGCTGTCGCTGTCGAACAGAAACCCGGCCGTTGCCTGCAGGAGCGGCGGCAGCCGGCGACCCGGCGGTGAACAGCCTCGGGCGCGGCCTCACCTCGCCCGCGTCAGCACCGCGGACAGCACAGCGGCCGGACCCAGGACCTAGGGGCCCGCCGGGCCGCCTGCCCACGGGCGCCCGGGCCGGAGGCGTCCCTGTCAGCACCACGGACAGCGCACAGGTTCCCGGCCGGAGTCAGCACCGCTGACAGCCCCTTGACCAGCCCCTCAGCCGGCTTGGAGCAGTCGGCGCCCTCAGAATATGGCCACCGAGGTAGGTAGGGGGCGAGCGCCCGTGCCCGACTGCTGGGCGGGAAGGGATGATGGGGGTGGGGTGGGTGGTGGGTGGGATGGGGCGGGGTGGGGTGGGACAGGGTGGTTTTCTGGGGCGGGTCTGCAGGGGAAGGCCGGATGGGGCAGCAGCAGAGTGGAAGAGAGGGGCTCCTCGCTGAGAGTTCCTCTGGCCCCTGGCGCGTGGATCTTTCCCACTGGAGTCCTGAAGCCATCTATGCCACTTGTTGGCACGAGCGCCGGGGTCGGTCCTGGGCTTTAGCTGGGGTTTCCCTTTCCCCTGGATTGCAAGTCCTGAAACCACTTCCCTGGGGGTTTGGAAATGAGCCTAGAAGGAATGCAGCTGGCTGCTGTTGCTATGCATGCATCCATCTGCTTCTGAGCCCCCAAACCTGGAAGGGATGACGGACCTACCTCCACATCAGTGTTTCCTTCAGGGGCCAGGGGAAGACAGCGAATGCTCAGGCCAAAACCCCACTGGTTGGTTTTTAATGAGCTGCCTAGGCTGAGCCCTGCTTTTGCACACTTACTTGCTTTTTCACCTCACTAGAGTTTCCTGTACTAAAGTGTACACGTTTCTCCTGTGTCTGATGGGAGGGGCTACCTTCTTCAAGGTGTGCCTATACAGGTGTCACCTTCCAGGAGTTTAAAAGCCGAACCAAGGGACCTGTTGGCTCAGGGTGGAATCTGTGTGCAATGCTTAAGAGATCAGGAATTACCTTCTCTACCCTCTCATTTCGTGAGGGGAATGAAGCTCTTTATGTTCCTACTTAATAAGTGGTAAAGCTCAGATGTGGAGAAGGGGAGGATCTACTTGGTACTCACACAGCCTGTCAGCAGTAGAGCTGAAAGTCTCTCCCTTTGAATTTTTGGACTGGAACCAGAGACACCAGTGTCTCCCTGGTTCTGATGTTGAGTTCTTTTGTGGTGTCTCCCCATTTACAACACAGCTGGAACGCAAGCCATGGAGACAGCAGAGGCTTTTGAATGATTCTGTGCCTCTGGGCATCCTGGTGAGCAGTGTGACATCAGCACTAAGTGTATTGTTGTTATTCTGCTGTCCTTGCCACCACAGAACAAGGTGCAGCTGCTTGGCATCACTAGGCTTTCTGACAAGCATGGTGTTAGCTAGGAGAGCTTGCTCCCAGCACCCTGTGAGGAGCAAGCCCTAAACAAACCCATGGAGCTTGGTTTTAAGGGTGGAAGGATGCAGAGTGCTCAGAAAGTGCCATAGACACTGGGAAGAGCAGGAAGAACAAAGGAGAGATGGCCAAGGAGCTGGTCACCTTCCAGATGGGGCTGCCAGACTGCAGCAGAGGCTGCTGGTGTTAGGCAGGAAGGAAGCTTCAGCCACCTGGACACAGCTGGACCAGCAGAGTGGGCAAAGAAAACAGCTACATCTGTGATGTGGTCTGATACATTCCAAGAGGCCCACCTGTCCCAGCATATCTCCCTCTCAGGTCTCCCAAGCTCCCCAGATTCCAGCCAGCAGCCTCACATCTCTAGGTTGAGGCAATGTTCCAAGAGGCTGCTGTTAGGCATGTGTGACTCTGTCCAGGGAGAGGCTCTGTTCATCTCACTTCTGTGACTCTAGCACCTTCCTGTGTTCAAAGCATTATCACATGGGCAATTTCCTTTGAGTCTTAGAGCAATCCTGTGAAGTGGGCAAGGATGTATTATTATCCCCAATTAACAGATGAGACAACAGAGGCTCAGAAAATTGCCCTGTGAAGGAGCCAAGGAAGGCATCATTATCTCATTTTAAAGATGATGTAACTGGAGTGTTGAGACAAGAAAAAAGTATGGCTAAAAATTAAAAATTAGGGGGGCCAGGATAGAACTTGAGTCTTCTGTCTCCATGGCCAGTGATTTTTTTGGCTGTATCCAGGTGTATCAATTAGCCTGTTGTGTTACCCAATAGAGAAAAGAGCACTAGGGGTCTTGACATGAAGCTTTGAGGGGGGAGGGGTGCAAAGGGAGTTCAGGAATGGCTGGAGTGTGGGGACTGGCCTGGCTGGGTCAGCTGGAGGGCAGAGGACAGAAGAATGCTCAGAAGAGATGGGGAGCTGAGGACCAACATGGTCCAGTTCTCAGTTTTGCCTTGGATGGACTCTCATGGAAGGAGGAAGCCTCAGCTCTGCCGTGGCACAGGCCATGCACATTATCTGGGCTGCAGAGTGAGTCATTCTCCCCAGGCTGTTTTTAATGTTGGGAATGAATTAGGATTACCAGGAAAAACCTGTTGGGAGAAGGAAAATCTCATGCCAAGCTCCTGTGGCCATTCTTTTAGGATTCTGAATGTGAAGTCCTTAGCTCTGACAGAGGATGTTTTGAGGGGAGGAGAGGGGAAGGGAGGAAAAGAGAGAGGGAGGAAGAGAACAGAGAGAGAGAGAGAGAGAGAGAGAGAGAGAGAGAGAGAGAGAGAGAGAGAGAGAGAGAGACACAGATTGGATGTTCCTGGATCCCTGCATGGAAGGCAGGAAACTGGATGCTTTTGCTCCCTAATTTCTGTTTAGGAGTCAGCATTGGGGGAGGGTATGTGTAAGGGATTCAGAGGAGGGGGAAGCCTCCTGAGTGATACACTGACCTCATTTGGAAAACTGTAATGAGCCCATTTTCTGAGTGACAAACCTCTGTGAATGTATGTCACTGGGAGCTGGGACTGCCCAGGTGGCCAAGGACAGCTGGGAAATGCCTGTCTGGCAAAGGTTTCTCCAAGAGGAGGAGTTTGGCACTTCGGGAATTTTAAAATGCAGGGTATTTGCAGGTTTGATCTCTGAGGCATGGAGGTAACAACCAGCAGACAAAGGATTGGGCTTGGGCTTTCCTGTCATCTGAGAAGCAGGGAGACCCTGTGCCCAGGTTTCCATCCTGAGGCCTGGCTTGGCTGCCTGTGACTCATGGTCCTCACTCCTCCTCCACAGCCTGGCCAGGCAGGGTGCATGATGTTGGCTCATCAGCTGTATCTCCTGATTCACAAGTTGAGTCTCAAAAGCATCCTCTGGAATTAGCTGTTTTTAATGAAGATGGAGATGTGGGCCAGGAGGGGCTTCCTGTGTGTCTAGGGCAGATCAGGCCTGGGAATGCTCACCTGCACTCCAGAGCTTGCTTCTTTCCACCTCTGCTAGGTCGACTATTGGTTGTATAGGCCCTAAATGTTTGACCTGGGGTACCCACTCTCCAGGCAGCCTCCCCTTCCCTCTCTGTCAAACTCCTCCTCTTTTCTGCTGGAAAGTAGGTACTAGCAGATCTCACCATTGATTTTCTCTTTCTTATTTATGACATGCCCCTTCGTACTCTCCTTAGTCTGCTGCCAGCTGGTCTGGGGTAGTGATGAGAAAGTGGGGAGGGATGAGGAAGGTGAGAGGTTGATGAAGGTGAGAGGTAGAGGAGAAGCCCAGGTGTTGGGTCAGTGCCCAGGGGGAACCACCCAGGGCAGATACAGAAGCTGTGATCTCTGTGAGAGGTGGGTGTGTGCATGTTCTGGGATCTTCCTGTGGGATTCCGGAGCACTGTAAGCTTGGCTAAAACCCCCTGCCAGCTTCCTGAAAGCTAAGTAACTGGCAAGTGGCTGGGCATTTGGCTCTTGCTCTGGTCCAAGGACCCCCTGCCGTGGGATTCCTTATTCAGAAGTTCTAAACTGGCAGCTCTAGGAATGAATCTGGCTCACAGGTATAAATGTAAGTGCTTATAAATGTAAAAAGTGTATTGGAAACATTTAAAAATCAGGATATTTGATAGTAAGAAAATCTGGATTTATAGTTTTTCTTTAAAAATCAGAATCACAACTGGAGCATACATTTTCACATGGCAATGATCAGGCGTTTTCTTGAGACAGGACATGAGTTCTCTAGTTATCCACAGTCCCCACCTGGCCCACTTCCTCTGTAGTCCCTGTAAACATTTGCATTCATAATACCTGATGAGGCTTCTAGAATGTCAGAGCTGGAAAGGGCTTTGCCAATTACATAGTTCCATCTTCAGTTTCTAGTTGAAGAAATGGGGGCCCAGAGAAGGGAAGACTTTGCAGGGCCATATGATCAAGACTAGCACCAGATCCTGCTCCTAGGTCAGTGGTCCATTTTTCCACCAGAGATTTTTGGTACTTCACAACTGAGCCCTCAGGGATGGAGACAGCCAGGGGACCCAGCCTTGCCTTAAACCCTCCTCCTCCTCCTCCTCACTAACCTCAGATGGGTCTATGACATGCATGCTCTAAGTAGGTCTGAGAAACTAAGGCTCTGGCATATAGAGTGTATCTGATTCTGTCCTCTAGCAGCTCAGCTCCTCAAGGCCCCACAAACACTGTCCAGGGAGGAAAGAAGATCTCTGGTCACCCAGAGTCAGGATCACATCCTTAAGGCTTGGGATAATGTTAGGGTTGGTAAGGGTGTTGACCCCTCCAGCTGTGGCTACTTTGAGAACCCATGGGTAAAAAAAAAGCCAAGAGTAAACAGCACTGCATTATGCAAGGTAGCACCCTGAAATTGGAATGGCATAATGTAATAGAAGTTCACTTTCCACTCAGTAAAGTCCCAGACAGGTGTTCCCCATTAGTCAGCTGGTGGATCTCCTCCAGGCTGTGATGTAGGGACCCAAACTCTTTCCAACTTGTGGCTCCACCATCTCTAGCACGTCTCCCTTGCTTTCTGTGGAAGTGAGTGATCACAGAGGAATGGCTGGTCCTTATGAGCCAAGCCTATGAATGCCATTTATCACTTCCACTCACATTTCGTTTAGTCATACCTGGCTGCAAGAGAGGCTGAGAATTAATCGATCTGGGTGCCTAGGAAGAAGAGGTGGCTGTGGTAAACAGCTAGCCACTCATTGGAGACACATAACTTCATGGTAGCTCCCAGGGCATGTGTATGAATTCAGACAAGGAGGGTGTTGGAAGGGAGGAAGCTGAGTCCGTGTTAGAATGGCTGAAGCACTGTTCTTTCTTTTCCTTTCCATTCTCACCATCATTTTTTCCCCTGGGCTACTATAAAAACTCCTCCACCTCGCCCCCAACCCAGCCATGCTCACTTCCCATCACCACTCACAAAGTTGCCAGCATGACCCTTCCTGGGCTAGGGGAATCCATCCTCAAGATGGACTGGGTCACGTCAGTTGGTTTAGAAGGGCAGAGGAAGGCCACCGCCCCTTACTTTTCTTTTGAAAATTAAAAAAAAAAAAAGTATAAAACCTTAACCAGAGAGACACAATGATGAATAACTTATTTATATTAACAAAGCATTCTTTATTTTTCAAAGTTATCATCGGATCCTAGCAGACATCAAGGGGACTTTCTCAACTGAAACCTTGACTAGAGGGATCAAGAACTATTAAGACCAGAGGAACACATAAACACTATTTCAGCAATTTTCTACCACTGTGCCGCAAGAGGCACCATGGTGTGCTGCCAGAATTTTTAAAAGATGTAATACCTGACTATTTAGTCAGGGACCCTGACCTCTTTTCCCTTAGACTGTCAAAGAAAAAAATGACAACAACCAACACAATAGCCATCCAGTGTGAATAAGTCAAAGTTATACCTATTTTTTGTCTGATTGGCAAAAAATATATTTTTTGGTGTATGGCAGAATTTTAGTGATTAGTTTATGTGCGCCACGAGATGAAAACGATTGAAAATCACGGCACTATTTAATCCAAACACAACACTTGGGGATCGCATCTCTTAGGCAGAGTGAGGTCCACCTGGGTTAGGAAGGTCTTATATGGTGGTCGGTCTCTGATTTGTATCTTTTCTGCACCTCGATCTACCAATTATCTGCTGCTACTACCATATCGATAATCTTTCTCTCATTACTTATTCTTTCCTCAGCTTTTAAGCAACATTTTTCTATCTTAAATCCTCTCTTCCACAAATCCTCCAGTAACTTTTGATCTGATTCTCCTCTATCCTATTCCCAGTGTTCTTATCTGATTTGCAACCCAACTCCATTCTTGCTGAAATCTGCCTCCAGTCATATGAGTAGACTGCCTTCTCTGCTGTCTCGATTACTTTGCACAAGCTTCTCCTTCTGTCTGGGTTGCCTCTTCCTCCCTGTTCCCTCCTACCCCCACCCTTGCCCCTGCCACTGGTAACTCCTGGCCTTCCTTTATGACTCAACACAGACCTCAGGAAGCCTTTCTGAGTCAGTGCTTCTGGGTAAGATGTGACTTCTCTGTAGCATTTATCACAGTCAAATTCATTATTTATTTACTTGTCTTCCTCCCTGGAGCTCACAGACTGTCTTCTGCTCAGCATCCCTACAGCCTGGCGATAGTAGGGACTCCATAAATGAAAGCTGAGTGACTGAATGGATTCACCTTAATTACACAGAATGAAGTGGCTGTGTGTTCACTGCCTTTGGGGCTTGGCCTCTGCGTGGTTCTAATGTCTGGCATATTTCACCCAGTGGGTTGCTTGTCTGGAACATGGACGAGTGAAGTTGGAAGTAGAAGAAAGAGGCCCTGTTCTTTTGTGAAATTGAGCCCATGTCTGTGTCAATGTCAAGTCTGCAGGTGTGTGGACAGGAGTTAGGAGTCACCCCCCTTCTCCCTACCAGGGCAGGAAATTTCTTCCATGTCTGGCTTTAGCCCACTTTATCCACAATTTTCTCTGGGGGCTTGGACATGTGTGGGTTTCTTCTAATGCATGGTGAGAAATGCTGGGCATAAAAACCATCCATGGTGCCCTCCTACTCAGGCCATACCTTGGCCGAGGTCATGGCTGCATCAGGTACTTCTCTACTCCACACTCCCCTCTCCTAGCCTCGCTGTAAGCTCCACCCAGGGTTTGGGACCTCAGTCTTGTTTAGTGCTGGGTTCCCTAAGCCAAGACCTGACAGGTTGTAAATGTTTGATACTTGCCGAATGAATGAAAGTATGGAAGGCCTCACCATGTGTGTGTGTGTGTGTGTGTGTGTGTGTGTGTGTGTGTGTGTGTGAGAGAGAGAGAGAGAGAGAGAGAGAGAGAGAGAGAGAGAGAGAGAGAGAGAAGGATTTGGCCAGCCACCAGGATATCCTTTCCTCTAGTGAAAATTTGTTTCTGACTTGATTATTCCTGAACTTCTTGCTTTGGCTCAGTTTTGACCCTGCTTCTGGCTTTTTCTAGGTTTTTCTGGGATCATTAGAGGCATCCGCTGGGGTAAACTCCACAGTCCTGCTTCCTGAAGACCTTCCTGGAGCACATGTAGGGGGCCCGACTTGTCTCCCGGTTTGCTAGAAACTTTCCTGATTTTAGTACCAAAAGACCCACATCCCCCCAAGCCCCTCAGTGTTGGACAAACTGGAAGGAGGGCCAGCCACCCAAGTCGCGTGTCTTCTCTATGTCTCCGCAGGTGCACAATCTGCAGGAGCTCCGGCGAAGTGCATCCCTGGCCACCAAAGTCTTTATCCAGAGAGACTATAGTGATGGGACCATCTGCCAGTTCCAGACCAAATTCCCTCCGGAGCTGGACAGCCGGGTAAGGATGTCTTTTCCTAAACCCGGAACATAGGCTGTGAAGGAGTGGGGAGGGGCTTATTCAAGAGTAACTTGTTCAGCTATTTCACATGGGAGAATTAAGAAACATCCTTAACATAGTCTTGCTGTCACCTCATTGAAAGTTAGAACCAGAGAAAACACAGACATTTCCTAGACCAGCAGCTCTCTGGTTTCAGCCGCAGGAGGATAACCTGGAGAACTTGTTGAGCAAACATACATTCCTGAGTCTGTTGGGTGATATTAGGTGTCATCAGAGATGCTGGCTCAGTTTTTTTTTTTTTTTTGGCTTGGGATCAGGAATCTCCACTTTTTAGCTGAGTTCTCAACCCCATATTAGTATTTTCTGGGGAGTCTTAAAAACCTTGATGCCTAGGTCATCACCCAAGGCCTTTCCTCCTAGCCCCTCCCTCCAGACTCAGCTTCCAGTGTGGCTCAGGGGCCACTGGAAGGCATCAGCTCTTCTGTTGTTGTTTTTGTAAATACATTTTATTGATTATGCCATTACAGTTGTCCCATTTTCCCTGCTTCATTCCCCTCCTCTCTGCACACCCCTCCCTCCCATTCCCCCCTTTAGTTCATGCCCATGTGTCACAAGTTCTTTAGCTTCTACATTTCCCATACTATTCTTGCCCTCCCCCCTGTCTATTTTCTACTACCATCTATGCTATTTATTCTCTGTACCTTCTCCCCCCTTCTCCTCCCACTCCCCTGTTGTTAACCCTCCTCATGATCTCCATTTCTATGGTTCCGCTCCTGATCTAGTTGTCCACTTAGTTTAGGTGTGGTTGTTAGTAACTGTGAGTTTTCTGTCCTTTCACTGTTCATATTTTTAATCTTCTTTTTCTTAGATAAGTCCTTTTAACATTTCATATAATGAGGGCTTGGTAATGATAAACTCCTTGAACTTGACCTTATCTGAGAAGCGCTTTATTTGCCCTTCCATTCTAAATGAAAGCTTTGCTGGATAGAGCAATCTTGGATGTAGGTCTTTGGATTTCATGACTTGGAATACTTCTTTCCAGCCCCTTCTTGCCTGTAAGGTGTCTTTTGAGAAATCAGCTGACAGTCTGATGGGAACTCCTTTGTAGGCGACTGTCCCCTTATCTCTTGCTGCTTCTAGAATTCTCTCCTTCATTTTAATCTTGGCTAATGTAATAATGATGTGCCTTGGTGTGTTCCTCCTTGGGTCCACCTTCTTTGGGACTCTCTGAGCTTCCTGGACTTCCTGGAAGTCTATTACCTTTGCCAGATTGGGGAAGTTCTCCTTTATTATTTGTTCAAATAAGTTTTTTACTTGTTGCTGTTCTTCTTCCCCTTCTTCCCCTATAATTCAGATGTTGGGATGTTTAAGATATCCTGGATGTTCCTAAGCCTCTCCTCATTTTTTTGAATTCTTGCTCCTTCATTCTTTTCTGTTTGGCCACTTCTTTCTTCCTTCTGGTCCACTCCATTGATTTTAGTCCCAGATTTGTTTCCATCACTATTGGTTCCCTGTGCAATTTGCTTTATTTCACTCAGTATAGCCTTCTTTTTTTCATCTAATTTGCGACTAAAATCAACCAGTCCAGTGAGCATCCTGATCATCAGTGTTTTGAACTGTGCATCTGGTAGGTTGGCTATCTCTTGGTCACTTAGAAGTGTTGGCTCTGGGGCTTTGAGCTGTTCTGCTTGAGTCATAATATTTTGGTCTGTTTGCGCCTGTTACGTATGAGGGGGGAAAGCTTAGGTGTTCACCAGGGCAGATCAGCCCAATTGCTGAGTTGTGACAGGAGGCGGGGTCAGAGAGGGAGCTACGGTGTTTTTTCCACTCTCTCTTGGATTTTGGTCCCCTCTGCCACTTCCCACAAGCAAATTGGTTCCTTTTAGTGTTGGTTCCTGGGTGGGTGGGCTTGTGTTCATTCTAGGACCCTGTGGGTCTCTTAGTAAACTCTTCTGTGAGGTTAGGAGCCTCTCCTAGAACCTCAGCCCCCAAAAGTTTTTCCAATCAGTGTTTTTAGGCTTTATTTTCTGTTACTGGGGCCCTGGGTTGCATGGTCTGTCTCACTGACTGTTTTTAAACCTGCCTGGTTTCTCTGCACGCAAATGTGTGTCCGTGGTCAGCCAGCCAGCCACCTTGCGAGCCTTACTGGGTTTCCATCTGTGCCCACCTGGGTCACCAATCACCGCCTCCTCCTGCTGGGACCCATATCCATTGCTGCTGACTCTGCCCCTCTTACTGGCCTGGATGAATGGCTTGTTGTTGTTGGACTTCAGTACAGTTTACTTTTCTGTCTGTTTGGTTGTGTTTTTATTCTTAAATCTTTGTAGTCCTTAAACTTGGTTGTGCGAGGAGGTACAGTGTTTCCACCTATGCCTCCATCTTGGCCGGAAGTCCTCTTCCTGTTGGGTTTTGTTCCTAGTTCTGTGGGTGTACATAGCCTCTATCCCAGGCTGCCATGGAGCTGGCCCGGGTTTGGGTGAGGGCAGAGGGCAGACCCTGATCCTTTCCCTCAGCAGCCCAGGCAGATCTAAAGGCATCTGGGAAGGCGGGGCAGGCCTGGCTTCTACTGATCTGACCTCCTAACCAGCTTTGGGGGAGCCATATGAGTCTTCTTGTTTTTGCCCGCCTGCCCTTTGGGGTGGAGTGACCCCTAGGGTAGAATGCAGGGCTTAGGTCAAGGGCCAGATGGCATAATTTTCTTTATGTGTTCCTTCCAGGTCTGTAGGGACAGTGGCTGGGAACCTCAAAGCTTCTGACTATTCGTGGGGAGAGATTTTGTCCTGCGCAGGCTGGGAGGATCCTAACCCGTGTGATGGGCAGCTCTGGTCCTGTGGGAGTGAGCGGGGAACAGGGGGCTGTGAAGAATGTAAAGATGGAGCAGCAGACACTCTGACACCTGCTGGGTTTGGTGCACAGCCTTCCAGTGTGGGCGGTCCAGTGTAAGGCTGTGCAGGGAAGAGTGCAGACCGGGCTAGAGCTATGTAGCTTCGGACAAGTCCACTCAGCAGTCAGCAAGTATTTATGGAGAGCCTCCTATGGAATAGGCACTGGAGATATAGGTGCAAACTCATAGAGTTTATTTCTATTAGAGTGTACAAAAAATAAAAAACCAAACAAATATCTATATGGTAGCTCAGGTGATGACAAATACTAGAAAAATAAGGAAGGAGGTCAAGGCGGACAGAGAGAGCTGAGGATAAGGAATGGTCGGGGCGGCATGTTGTATAAGGTGAAACCTGAGGGAAGTAAGGGTGAGGGGGCAGGAGACAGTGCGGGGCCTGGGGGAGGAGCATTGTAGCAGAGGGCCATAGGCACAGAGGACAGTGGCATTTTCAGGAGACAGCGGTGGAGTTGTCCGTGTGGTAAAGTGGGATCAGAGTGAGGAGGGGAGGGGGAGAAAGGCTCAGCGGGGACACAGGGCCAGGCAGTAAGGACTTCCCAGACCTTACTGTGCCATAGATGGGAAGACTTTCGAAGCTCTGGATCAGAGCTGTATGTAACCTGATCTGACCAGCAGGCTTGCTTGGCTGGGCTGGGGTCAGGAAAACCAGAGATGATGGCTGCCCGGACCACAGAGCAGAGCTTCATCATCCTCACTTGTGACGGGATGATAATCCTACTTCACTGAAAGAGTTGTAATGAGGGTTAAATGCAGAATACATTAGAAAATGCCCAGCAAATACAAAGTGCTTAGTAAATATTAGCTATTTTGATTATGAATGCAGCCAGCATAGCTTCCCAGTTGTCTGAAGATCTTATTTATTTATTTGTTTGTTTGTTTATTTATTTATTTTTAGAGAAGGGGAGGGAGAAAGAGAGGGAGAGAGACATCACTGTGTGGTTGCCTCTTGTGCATCCCCGACGGGGGACCTGGCCCACAACCCAGACATATGCCTAGGAATCGAACAGGAGAGCCTTTGCTTCTTAGGCTGGTGCTCAATCCACTGAGCCACACCGGCCAGGGCCACTTCCCAGTTGTCTAAACACACAAAGCTGTCATGTTCTCCATGAACTCTGGTCTAGAAGGAAGTGCCCCCTCCTAGAAGGACACCCCTGAGGTGTCACCCAATCAATCTCATGCAGTTGAAGTCCATCCAAACATGGACAGCCATGTTCTGAGCTGTCACAGCCACCAAAACAGGGGTGTTGGTGGGGTGACAAAGTCACCAGAATTCTTGCTTAATCCTCTGTAGAGAACATTCACATCTAGGATAGCATAGAAGTTTCCTGTTTGAGGGAAGCCAAGTAGCCATTCTTATTCCCATTTTATAGATGTGGAAACTGAGGCCAGAGTTGTTAAGTCATTAGTCCAGGGTCACAAAGCTAGTTGATGGCCAGGTCTGAACCCCAGGTCTCCTGACTCCTGGTCCAGTGTTCCTTCTGCCCATGGGCACCTGCAGCCTCTCTGGTCTTGCTGTGTGCTGTCCCCACACCTGGCATGGTCCTATCACTCCCCCTCACACCAGGTGACTGTTCGAACTCCAGGGAGGCTGACCTCCACCAGGCTTTTTCTCCCTCCCCTCCCTCTCTCCAGATTGAGCGGCAGCTCTTTGAGGAGACTGTGAAGACCCTCAACAGCTTCTACGCGGAGGCTGAGAAGATTGGGGGCAGCTCCTACCTGGAGGGCTGCCTGGCCTGCGCCACGGCCTACTTCATCTTCCTCTGCATGGAGACCCACTACGAAAAGGTACTCCCTCCTTCACACCCTGTGTCCCCTTCCCCAGGCCTCCCGGCTGCACCCTCATCCTCGATTGGCCCCTGTCTTGGCAGGTTCTCAAGAAGATCTCCCGCTACATCCAAGAGCAGAACGAGAAGATCTTTGCCCCTCGAGGGCTCCTGCTCACAGACCCTGTTGAGCGTGGGATGAGAGTCGTATCCTTCCTGTCTATTCTGTGTTGGGGCAGGGCACAGAGCAGCCAGCCTGTGGGGTCTGCGGTGAGGCTACCAGGAAATGGGATGGCCCTAGGGGCCTCTGCTCAGGGTTTTCTGGGATTCCCCCCATGTCTGCTCCCCAGCCCTCCTCCCTGCCATATGTTATTAGTGCTTTGTGAATTATAGGGTTTGCTTTTTATTTGTTGAGCTACATGTATTCCCTGCTTAGTATGTGCCAGGTGTCAGATTAGGTGCGTTGAAATTGTAGGCCCATGTAATTCTCCTAACACCCCTATAGTGAGGTGACTGTTACTATTTCCCTTTATGCAGTGGATGAGCACACTGCCGGCAGATCACTGGCTCACGGGTTTGAGCCTGTTCTGCCCCTGAGGGAATGCGCAAATCTCCACATACACTTACATGCCCACAATCTCACATAAACCTGCTTTAATCCCGTGTGGTGGTCCCATGGCCCCCCTTGCACAGGTGAGGAAAATGAGGTCTCGGTGGGAAGCTGGCGGAGGGGTAAGGAGTAGGTTTGCTCACTCCTCCTGTCAGGTGTGCATACTTCCCTCCCCAGCAGCGGCGGCAAGGGTAGAATGCTTAAAAAATAAATTTTGCTAGAAAATGGAGAGGAAGAGTAACAAAAACAAATACCAGAGTCTCATGTTTACAAAGCCCAGTGAGAGGCTCTTGCTATTACCGTGCCTGTGTGACTTGCCAGGCACTGGCACGTACTACTTCACTTAAGTCTCACCACAGTCTCGTGATCCTGTACTTAGTTCCATTTCGTGATGTGGTAGCTGACAGGTAACAAGTGCAGTGAGTGGTCAGAGGTCAGGTAGCTCTAAGTGAGCTACAGGAACTTGAACCTTGCATGTCCTGTATGGAAACAGCACATTCTGGGCATGCGACGTCCTGGGTTTGGTGACTAGACTCTGGAGTGTGAGCCCCTGATCCTGGCCGTGCGCCCGCATGGTGCATGGAGCCTGGCCCTGCAAGTCTCCATAACTGAGTTGGGTGTGCGCTGTGGGTCTTGGGTCTAGGTCACCAGGCCTCCGAGTTCTTCCTGTCTAGGAAGCAGGACAGCTCTTCCCTCTGCTCTCCGCTGGCCTCCATCTGAGGACCCTGTCCACCTTGCCGGCAGCTGGCAGCCCTCCTTAACGCTGCCCCAGATTGAGATCGCCATCTATGAGGACCGGTGCAGCAGCGGCAGCTCCAGCAGCGGCAGCAGTGGCAGTGGCAGCAGTGGTGGGGGTGGCGGAGCGGGGGCCCGGTGACTGGCCGAGAGTCCCCGCAGGGAGGTGTATGGCAGGACTGAGGGCCTTGCAGACCTTCGGCGGCTGCGCTACCAGAGCACCCGCTTCTGAGTCATTCTGTGGGCCCACCTGCTGCCCGGGGCGGGAGGACCGGCATCTGGCCAGTGTTTCCCACAGGCCATCCACCTCACCCCCTGCCCTTACCCCAGAAGGATGGTCCGCTTCCCGATCTGGCTATTCCCCATAGGGCTGGTCTGGGTCACACACAGGCGAGGGTGGGGACAACACAACTTGGACAGCCCCTTTCTTCTGCAGCAACCCTTCCAGTACCCCAGAGAGGACCCAGCTGTGTCACAGAGAACTCCCATCCTGCATGATTCCTCACCCCAAGTGCCACATCCCTGAGGGTTCTCCCCTCGGGGCCCTGCTCCCTGAGGCTGCTTCCCAGTGTCTATGCTTCCTGATGCCACCCCAGGGCCTCTGCCTGTCTGTGATCCTGCCTCCACCGAGTCTGAGGTCTGGGGAGACAGGAGTGGTCAGACTATGGGTGCCATGGTGGAGAGCTAGCTCTCAGTTCCCCCGCCCTGACCTCTTCTAGACCTGTGGCTTCCCTGCTCTCCACCCAAAGCCTGGGGCCACCTTGGCCTTGCCAAGAAGCATCCAACTCCTGAGACTTTGTAGGCTACCAGGTGCTGGTCATTGGGTACACAGCCTGGGTCTCTGGGAAGTGTCTGGAGAAATGCTTCATGGAGAGGTGTGGCCATGGGGGCTTGAACCTCCAGAACCGAAGCCCACTTCCTCAGATTGGAACCTGCACGTGTGTGAGAATGAGTCGGTGCACACATAGGCAGGAATGTGGGCACACCATGTGTATGTGGAGGTATGTGTGAGTGCGCGTGTGTTTCCCTTAGCTGCCAGGCCAATGGCTGCTCCTCTCTGCATCCTGTCTCGTCTCCCTGCACAATGGTCTGTGGCTGCTTCTGTGTGCAGGTCCAGCCCGCCCCTATAGATAAATGTCCTAGTGACCCTTTGCCTGTTGTCCCCAGGGCTGCTAGCTTGGCTTTTCTTCCAGGCTTTTTCCCTAGCTGCAAGCTCCTCCCCACCTTCTAGCTCTACTGTGTACATTCTAGCAGAAGAGAAGCTGGGGTTCTAGAGAGAAGAGCCAACCTTCTGGGGCCTTCCACGCCCCTGTCCCAGCTCCCATGACAAGGCAACAGGGCCATAGATGCTGCATGTTCAGCTGTCCTGGCTCCAGGGCTCTCTAAGGCTGTGTAAGTGAGGCTGCCTTGGACATTCCAAGGAGCTGGCAACCTGCAGAGGAAAATGCAAACCCCTTTCTTGAAAGGAGAGAGGGGCATGCAGCCCATGAGTCCCTGGCTGCCCAGGCTCAGTGGAAGGAAGCCGCCCTGTCCAGGTGTCCTGAAGACAGACAGAAGGGGGCTGCCTGCCTCCAGTGGCAGGAGGTGCTAGAAGTGGATATGAAAGACCAGCCACTGCAGGTAGCTTTCTGAAACCAAAGAGGGACCTGATTTTCTCTGGACACAGCAGCAGCACGTGGGGAGGAGGTGCATGCCCAGAGTGCTGGAGAGGGTGTCCCAGCTGTTGAGCCCAGGCAGGTTCTGTCTGACCCAAGCATCACCCCAGACAGCTGCAGTCCAGTGGGCTCCACACAGCCCCCCGGACCCGGCCTGTGTCCACCTTGGCCCACCGTGTGACTGGGCCTCATGTCTGACCTGTGCCTCTCCAGTGGGATGGCTGGCACAGGTGACACAGTGGCCTTTTGTTTTATTATTTCTTTTTTCCAATAAAAGGACTTGCTCAGCTTGAGGCCCTGTGCTGCTTCTCTCCCTGTGGTGATGGAGGACCAGTTCTATGCTCTGGGATCAGGGAGCAGAGGGAAGGGGAGGCTGTCCACCCAACCTCACGCTGAGCAGGCAGAGCTGAGCGTTCTGGAAGAGGCAGCGGCCTGACACTGCAGGATGGACCCTGTCTTCTTGGAGCTTGTGGTCGTTGAGGGAGGCCGACATTCTAGATCTAAGTCACAGGTGGCAAACACAAGGCCCGTGGGCTGAGTCTGGCCTTCCACCTTGTTTTATCTGGCCTGGCACCTTCTTTCTACCTGGCAGCAGTGCCGAGCTCTCGCTTAACTGTAAGGAGTAGTTACATTTATAGTCCTAAAATTACATTTGGCCTTTTGAAGACAATCATGAGGCTGATGTGGCTCCCGGTGAAGATGAGTTTGACACCACTGTTCTGAGCTATAGTCTGTATGGGGCACTTGTAACCTTGGGCAGGGGAACAGGTTTCATCAGGCCCCAGGGAGCACAGGAGCCCCCAGCAGCTCTGGGCTGCTTCTCCCACCAGCTCTGGGCTGCTTCTCCCACCTCGTTGCCCTAGGACTGCATTTTCTGGTTTCCTTTTGGCCAAAGGCGGTTGGGGGTGGGGGTGGCTATGGGGATGGGGCCGGGATTGTTGAAAATCATAGGTTATAGAAGCTCGTGGTGCCCCCGAGTGGCAGAATCGTATACTGCATGCAGGAATCAGCAGCCTGGGCCAGAGCTACTCAGCTGTGGAAAACTTCCCTGTGACCCCCAAACCAGTGGTTTCTCCCACCTGCAAGGACTTAACTGTGGCTTCCAGAGGCGTGGGCCAAAGGTGGAGTCAGGTTGATGGCGACTGTCCCTACAGCCAGCCCCTGGAGGGGGTGGAGTGGGGTGGTGTGTGTGTGTTCCAGGCCCCTGGGGTGGGTGGGTCTGGAAGCCTGGGAAACTCCACCTCCTTTCTCCACAACTCCAGAAGGACTTACAGTGAGGAGGGGCTCTTCAGGAAGCACCTTCACCTGGTTCAGGCCTCACTATTCATGGAAGATGAAGGCCATGCAAATGCCGCTCCAAGTCAGATCTGAACTGGAGCTCTGGCTTCCTGACAGCAGCACGTGGAGGAGACTCCTGGAGCCTCAGTGTTCCTAGCTGCGAAATAGGGATACTAGTGCTTTACAAAGCTGCTCGGGCCAGTGCCTCTCATGCTTGGCTGCAACTGGTGTTACCTGGGGAGCAAGAGAAACTGCCTGGCCCTATCCCCAGATTTCACTGCTCTGGGTGCAGCCTGGGCAGCAGGGTTTTTCAGACTTTCCCTGGAGATTCATTCTAGGGTGAAGGTGCAGCGTCAGCTGGGTACTAGATTTATTAAGGGGAATCACTTAACAAATTGCAGTAACATCCACTCACTGGGTTATCCACCTGAAACTAATACTGTGTGCCAACTGTAATTGAAAAATAAAAAAATTAAAAAATATAAAGGCAAGGTTGAGAGCCCCTGGTTGGAAGAGTGCCTGCAACCTATGAGCTCTTCACAGGCCTCTGAAAATGTCTGACACTTGAATAAAAAGTTTATGGGTCTCATGAAAGCAGCCAGACACAAAATGAGTATGAACTCTACAATTCCACTCACAAAAAACTCAACTATAGGCAAAACTAATCTGTAGCATTAGAGGTTGGGACAATGGCTGCCCTGGCATGGGGCCCGGTGAATGGAGGCACCTGGTGTGCCTCTGGTGCCCACAGTGTCCCAGGTCTTGGGCGGAGTGCCGGCTGTGCAGGTGTGCTTACTCCGTGAGAACTCACGGAGCTGCACATTTAAGATTTGTGTGTCTTTCTGAATGTATGGTACATTTCAATAAAATTTACCAAAAAGGTTTATTGGCTCCAAAATAGGGAAAGAAAGCACAAAATTGAAAATGTTTTATTATAGATCTATAAAATATAACATTGTGTCAAACAGTCAACTGCAATTCAATTTGATATGTGTATGTGTGAATATAATTTAATGTTGGCTATGGATATATATGAAAATATATGATATGATGAGGGGTGGGATATCCAAAAGAGAGGGTCCATGGTGCCTACGAAAGTCCTAAAACATCCCTGGCTGCTGGTATAGCTTAGTGGATTGAACGCTGGCCTGTGAACAGAAAGGTCATGGGTTTGATTCCGCATTAGGGCAGGCCAGGTCCCCAGTTGGGGGTGTTTGAGACACAATCGATGGATGTGTCTCTCCCTCATTGATGTTTTTCTCCTCTTCTTTTTTCTCCTTTCCTCTCTCTCAAAAAAGAAAATAACCTGGCTGGTGTGGCTCAGTTGATTGAGCGCTGGCCTGCAGAACCATAGGGTCACCGGTTTGATTCCCAGTGAGGGCACATGCCTGGGCTGCGGCCAGCTCCCCAGTAGGGGGCACGCAAGAGTCAGCCACGCATTGATGTTCTCTCCCTCATTGATGATTTTCTCCCTCCCTTTCTCCCTCTATTCCCCTCTGTCTGAAAATAAATAAAACCAACAACAGCAAAAAAAAGGAAATAAATAAAATCTTTAAAAAAAAAGGAAAATTCTAAACAGCACAGGTTTATACCAGGGGCTCTTAACCTTGACCCTCCCTTCCTGCACTTGTACCCAAATTGATGTAACCTATGCAGACGAGAATCCACAGCTTTCAGGAGATTCTCAGAGTGGTATGTGACCCCCCCGCCCCCACCCCCACCCCCACCCCCTCTCAAAATGTTGAGAACAACTGGTTTTGAGGAATCAGTGAAAAACTGGCTGGGAAGGTGCCTGCCATGAAATAGGTGTTCGGCAGTCAGTGTCTTTCCTTCCTTTCAGAGTCCAGCCTTCTGGGGTTCCCACCTGACCCTTTGCAGGCGGCTCTGGGAGGGTTTACTCTTTTGGCAGCACCTGGGGAAGACTGTGCCAAGAGCACAGCTTTTCCTCTAAGAGGCCTTTAAAAAAAATGGAATTGTTGTTCAATGACAGTTGTCCCCATTTCCCCCCATTGCCCTCCCCTGCCCTGCCCAGACCCCTTGCACTCAATTCTCCCCCCGCCCACCACTGTCCTTGTTCATGAGTCCTTTATACATGTCCCTTGACTTAACCCTTTCCCTTAAGAGGTTGTTTTTTTCAAATATTTTATTTATTTTTAGAGAGAGGGGAAGGGAAGGAGAGTGGGAGAGAAACATCAATGTGTGGTTGCCTCTCATGTGTCCCCTACTGGGGACCTGGCCTGCAACCCAGGCATGTGTCCTAACTGGGAATCGAACCGGTGACCCTTTGCTTCACAGGCCCGTGCTCAATCCACTGAGCTACACCAGCCAGGGCAAGAGGCTGTTTTTAAGGACCTGTCTTTGCAGCATCTGCCGGAGGGCTGAACTTGGCCTACAGTGTCCTGGAGCTGACCTGGGACTTGTGCTTTCAAATGGGATAACAGAGGAGGTGGAAGAGTGAAGGCCATCAGAGGGCTGCCCCAGGCCCTGGACCCTCGGTAATTCACTTAACTGTCCCGAGTCTCAGCCTCGTCATTCGTAAAATGAGAGCATTATGTCAATGCATCTTTATAAATAGCAGTCTGTTTCTCCAATGTAAGGTATTATTATTGCTGAAGTTACACTAGGACCTCATTATACGGTGGCCTCGTGATATAGATTTATAGCCAGATTTCAGATTCTTACAGAGAATAAACAGAAATTTATCCAAGGGTTCACTGATTCCCTAATATAAGCCAGGAACATGCGTGTACATTAGTATTCTGTTGAGTCCTCTAACACTCCAGTGGGTGATTATATGTGAATTCTTATTTTACAGATGAGGAAGCTGATGTTCCAGGTGGCTAGGTAACTCGACAGGTGCCCAGAGCTCAGAGACCTGAGCTGCAGTGTCCGATGCAAATCCTGCTCTTGCTCTGCTGGTGCGTCCCAGTCAGAGGGAAGGCGCCGTCCTACCTAGACGGGCTCCTGCAGATTTCAGACCCAAAGAGAAGCACGTGGGCAAATGCAGATGTGAAAAATTAGGTTGGCAGGGGCACGAAGGGGCTGGTTATTTTGGAGCAATTCAAGTCACCACTTTCTGTAATGGAAGAGTGAGTGGGGACCAGGTCCCACCTGAGAGTGGGGCTGAACGAGGCCCTGGAAGGAGGCGAGGTTACATATACACAGGGTACAGGGCTCCATGTATGGTGATGGCCTCCCCCCCTCGGCCCCCACTTCCCCTGTACACTCTTGGAGGGTGGCGACCTTGTCTTGTCTTGCTCGTTTCCACCACTGCCTTCCCCCTGCCCCAAGTGCCTGTCACAGGGCCTCACCCCGGGCAGATGAATGGGAAATGTAGCCCATCACAGCCTGGCAGGAAGAGATAAGTGTGTACAAACAGGTAATCCTCAGGCCCCTGGGGCAATGGGCCAATGAGAAGCAGCTTAGGCAGATGCAGACAGGTGAGCGGTCACTGAATGATACAATGCAACGGCAAGTGGTCTCAGGATAGCTCAATTACAGGGAAGCGGCAGTGACCGCAGGCCACCCCCTGTGCCAGGCAGCTGCCTTCAGTACTATTGCCATGGCCGTGACCTCTGTTCACGATCTCCACCTGTGCTGGGAAGGGCAGGGAGGAAGCGTGTATCTCACCCACTCAACCTCTGCCTGGCACTCCCTGAATATCATTATTTTGAGGTGGGTACATCCTGGTGGGGCTGATGCTTTGCCTGGAATGTCTGGGCCTGGAGCCCTAGAGAGTGAAGGCAGATGGATGGATGGGTGGATGGATGGATGAAGAGAAGATGGGTGCCCGGAGATGACCGATGGATCAGAGGTGATTGAGAAGGTGCCTGGCTTGAGATGGATGCCCGCAGAGCCTGGAGAGGCAGGTGAATGGATGGGTCCTGACTGGCCCTCTGCTCCCCAGGGCAGATGTAAGTACAGGGCTGGAGCTCTTCACAGGGAAGATGCTGTGTAACCTGGTCCCCAAATAAACCCTACATTTGTAACGCCGAGTGATGGATGCATCTTGTCAGGGAGGGTTCTTACAGGTCTAATTTTCCCCCAGTTAATGACTATGGATCGTTGTCAAATCAGGCACTGCTGGAAATGGAG